TCCTCCTCCTCCTCCTCCTTCCTCCTCCTTCTCCTCCTCCTTCTTCTTCCTCCTTCTCCTCCTCCTCCTCCTTCTTCTTCCTCCTCCTCCTCCTCCTCCTCCTCCTTCTTCTTCTTCCTCCTCCTCCTCCTTCTTCCTCCTTCTCCTCCTCTTCCTCCTCCTCTTCCTCTTCCTCCTGCCCCTGTTCTTCCTCCTGCTGCTCCTCCTCCTCCTCACAAACCCCACTCTCTTCTAGCGCTGATAATGTTACTAAGCTGGGTCATGAAATGTCTTCAAACACAACCCCCACATCAAGCTCAGAGAGCACCAAGGAGCCTAGAGCTGCACATATTCTCTAAATATTATTCTTGCAACATCGCCAAGGCACCCCAAGTTTCGATCACGTGATCATTTCAGCTGCCATCTTGACTTTCTTCATCTCTCTCTCCCCACGGGAACCCCCTTGGGGAAAACTTTTCTTCAGTGGTTCAGATGGCAGGAAGGCTGTGCTGTTCACACAACTGGGAGAACTCCTATTTCTTCTCAACTACTGTCAAACTGCCCAGCTATTGTCTACAAGAAACCACACATTACATTTCCAATAAGTTATAACCTGTGAATGGGGGTCACAGACCTTTTTCCTCACTCGCTTCCCAGGCTCAGGAGTGGCTTAAACAGGATTTCAGAAAGCGCTAACTCCCCTGCCATGCTGATATTATGTGTCCTGATCAGGATGCTTGTTTCGCACAAGAATTGTTGTTTAATTCATGGGGCAAGCTGCACTGTTGATTTTTTTTTATTCTGGTAGAGCAATGTCTGGCTGAGTTGTGAGACACAAACAACTTCACAAATGCACTCTTCTGTGGCAGTTCTCCACCAATATTTGGATATATATATAGGGGTGTGCGTAAGTGCACCATTGTGCCTACCGTCCCTGTCCTATTATTCCCATTTATTCGAACCTATTTCCTGTATTCTTACTCATGTTTATTCTTATACCTATTATCTTGTAAGTGATTGACAAATACAATTTTAAAAAAATATTCTAATTTCTGTCAAACAACTTCTACAACATCTTTTTTTCTCTCTCTCTCTAATCTATCATCTATCATCTTTATCTATATCATCTGTCTGTCTCTCTGTCCATCTTTCTATCTATCATCTGTCTATCTCTATCATCTATCTATCTCAGGGGTGGGCAAACTACGGCCCGCGGGCCACATCCGGCCCGTTGGTCTTTTTTATGTGGCCCGCCGAAGATTGGTCCGTATGTAACCGCGGCCACTTTTTGGCTGCTTTCAGACGCGTTGAGAGGAGGTGGTTGAGGCGGAGGGCGGGTGGTGGAGAGCAAGTAGGGCGCCTGGCGGGCTTGTCAGGCAGAGCAGGAAACAGGGGCAGGAGCCCGGCGGAGCGAAGAGAGCTGAAACCTGTTGAGGTCTCGTCGAAGTCCCTTCGTGGGGAGAGAAGCTGCCGAGCCGAGAGGAGCGCGGGATGCTGCCGGCTCGCCTCCCTGCCCCTCCATCGTGACTGCGGGAGAAGGAGCCCTGAGCGCTGCTCTCGCGGCCACCACCGACAGAGCCCAGCTTCATTTCGCCTGAGCCACGTTTGATTTGAAAGGGGGCGTGGGAGGCAGCACCAAAGGAGCACTCTGGGGTTCGGCCAACCACCCGCTGAGCACCTCCGGGCTCCCCACCGTGGCGGGCAGACTTTGGGGCTGCACTCTGGAACCCAGAGCCACGGGACGGCGAAGCTGAGAGGCAGGAGGAGGCGCGTTGGAGCTGCAGCAGCCGGTTCAGATCTCTCGGTCCCAGGGAATCCCCCTCCGCCGAGGCGCCTGAGCCCCGAGCACCGCCGGCATCGAGGAGCACGAGAAACACAACGGGGCCATGGGAAAAGCTGCGCCCCAAGGAGCAACTGGTGGCCAGAGCGGCCGGGACTGGCAGTGGCGGCGAGGGCCCGACCTGCACAGGGGGGGCTGGGGCGGTTTTCTCCTGCGGCCGGCTTCGGAGCGGCCCACCGTGTGATCTTGGGCATCTGGCTCGCTGCGCCCTAGGCGCGCCTTTCCCTCGCCTCTCGGCCAGCAGCAGCAGCTCTGCCGCCGCCTCCTTCCTCCCCTAACGCCCGCTGTTGTGATGCGTATTCCCGTAGACCCGAGCACCAGCAGGCGCTCACACCTCCCTCCATGGCCTTCCCCTGCGGTAAGATGGGAGAGAACAGCGGCGCCCTCAGCGCGCCGGTCCCGGGACCTCGCAGCCAGACCGAGGTGTGTTCGGTGGTGGACGTCCTGGCCGATCATCCGGGAGAACTGGTGAGGCCCGACAGCCCCAACTTCTTGTGCTTGGTGCTGCTTTCCCACTGGAGATGCAACAAGACCCTCCCCGTGGCCTTCAAGGTAAGCCGGGAGGGGAGGCTGGGCGGAGCGGGCAGGTCCTGGGAGAGGCGCGCAGATGTTTCCTGCCGAGCGGGCTTCCCAAGCGCCCGGGAGGACTCGTGGTTTAATGGCAAAAGCGGCGGCGGAATGGGCGCTCGGTGGGTGGGGGGAAAGGCAAGCGAAAGCCTCCCCACACACACACCTCGGCAAGCGGTTTGCAGGGTTAGCCAGCAGTTTCTCGCAAGAGACTGAAGGCCGGTCTGCTCCCCCCAATTAGACGTTGGTTCAAGAGGAAGGGTCAGCCTTGCTACTAATTGGTGGTTCACAGTTTATCCGTGGGCACCGGAGGAGTTATGTTTTGGGGGGTGGGCATTTATTTATTTTTTATAAGTGGCCAACTTTTGTAAGCTGAGGGGGTACATTCATACACACATACACACATACACACACACAGTCGTTTATTCGTAGGGGAAGAATCTGTCTATCTATCTATCTATCTATCTATCTATCTATCTATGTTGTGCAAATTTAACTATGACGCCAAACTTGAGTTTTGGAGGATGTCTCGGAGAAAAAAATAGTTATTTTTCCTACCCCGAGTACGGCAGGCGTCTCTCCCGCTTAAAAAACAAAACTCTTTCCTCCCCTCGCTTTGAAAAGGGGAACTGTTAACAAATGCAGTTTTTTATATGTATCGTATCTTGTGCTGACCCGGCCCGTCCGTCAAATTTTAAAAGTCAATGCGGCCCCCGAGCCAAAAAGTTTGCCCACCCCTGATCTATCATATATCTTTATCATCTGTCTGCTGTCTGTCTATCTATATCATATCAATCTATCATCTAACATCTATTTATCATCTGTTTATCTATATCATCTGTCTGCTGTCTGCCTATCTATGTCTGTCTATCTGTCTATCTATCATCTATCTATCATTTATCTCATCTTTCATTTGTATATCATATCTGTCATCTATCTATCATCTATCTATCTATCTATCTATCTATCTATCTATCTATCTATCATCTGTCTATCTATCTATCTATCTATCTATCTATCTATCTATCTATCTATCTATCATCTATCTATCGTCATTTGTCTATCTATCAATCATTTGTCTGTCTATCTATCTATCATCTATCTATCTGAAAAAAATTGCAATAATAGTCCATCTTTGAACCATAGGTATGGCTCTACCCTATTTTGCATGCACCACACTATCCGTTTTTTGGGGAGAAATAAACTCTTCTACCATTCTTTCACCAATAATTTACCTTTTACCAATAACTCAACATTCATTTGGCATGGTGATCAACGCTGGGTTTACCGTGCAGTGTGGCTACAAAGACACATGTGCTTTAAGTTTTTTTTTAAAGGTTAATTGCTTCTGAGGGCCTCATTAATCTTCTCTGTGTGCCTGGCTTTACAAAAACTATGTCTATTCAAGCAGAAGTCAGACAACCACCTGTCTAAGATGTTTGAATGTGAATTCCTATGCACAGAGGAGAGTATAGGACAGCTTCTAACTTTCTAAGATTATGGATTTCTTCTCATGCTGGATGTTGAAGTTTCTGCAATTTAAACTTTGTAAAGTCGAGAAACACTGCTCTAATTTCGAGGCACAATTCTGTAATGGCTAGGAAGTCATTTGTTTTGTTCTGGGTTCACACAACCAACTAGGTTAGATTGAAGAGGCTTGGATAGTTTATAATTTCGGCATGTTATGTGAACTGCACCATCAAGTTATAATACAGGTTTTATTTTAAAAAAATGTTTGGGCATCGCTGAGGATGTTAACATAGCAATTGCATTGTGTTAACATGAGTTAAGAGGTAAATATGTATGCATGAGCACCCATCATGATTAACTAAGGAGGAGATTATGTCCAAGGCTAGTACCATGACATCCATTTTTTTCGCACACACATGGGGCCAGCTTTTGCAAAATCCTGATGATGATGTTTATTCACCAATAACATGATGATGAATGATGACATAGAACATAGAACAAGAGAGTTGAAAGGGACCTTGGAGGTCTTCTAGTCCAACTGCCTTCTCAAACAGGAGACCCTGTACCATTTCAGACAGGTGACTGTCCAGTCTCTTCCTAAAAGCCTCCAGTGATGGAGAAGGAAGGAAGGAAGGAGAGAAGGAAGGAAGGAAAAGGAAAGAAGGAAGGAAGAAAAGGAAGAAAAGGAAGGAAAGGAAAGGAAGGAAGGGAGGAAAGGGGAGGAAGGAAAGGAAGGAAAGGAAGGAAAGGAAGGAAAGAAAGGAAGGAATGATAACAGCATA